CTGTCTTAAAAATAGCCACACAAAATATTAAAACATAAACATCTCATTCATTTCCCAAAAACGAAGCACAACCATGCTTCCGTTCCGTCAACCCATGCAGTTAACTAAAACTTTTGGTCACCATAGCTAGCAAGAAAAAAAAAAAACGGCAGAATAAAAACAAGCACACACCACCATCCTGTTTTAGTACAGTGCCAACAATACCATAAGTCAAAGTTTTAAAAAGGAAGAGAAGGACATGCATCTTCAACACTCGTAACACCGCTACATCACATCCGGCGACCCCCAAACAGGTTTGCAAAAGGCGCCGACGCAGTACACTGGAGTTGCTTCTGTGTAAGTCATCCAATGATGTGGTCGTCATCAGGCTGGCACATCATCACCTCCCGGTAAGCGGCGTTATCCATAAGTGTGGAGGCGAAGTGGAATAACGGCGTACCAATCAGGGATGGAATACTGCTCAGTTTATGCATGCACTCTGAAATAGTGTACAGCGATTCGTTGCCTGTGAGGTGCCTCACCGTGACCTGTTGATTCTTCGAACGGACCACATCTGTCAGATTGTTCATGCTTTCCGCAATAACGGACGCACCACTTGTTGCCTTTTTCGACTTTGAAACACTTGTTGATGGCGTCTTTCTTTTTTTTGGCTTTTCAATCGGAACATGCTCCAGTGAAGAATCTGAATCCACGTCCTGTACTCCTGCGGGTATCGGATCAGCAAATCGCTGGGCTCCCAAACTACGCACTGAATCAGATGAGTCATCAGCAGCTTTAGGAAGTTTCTCTCCCGGGGTCCAATGGTGCTTCCCAGTAGCTGATGCCCCCATGAAGACCTTCTCCATCAAGTCACGGTGTTCCAAGGTTTTTTTCTTGAACTTCGCACACGCCTTGTTGATCTGCAGAAATAGAGATATATGAAAGAGGCAGACGTTATATTTCATTTAATTAATTAAAATTTAACTGAACAAGTCAAAAATGTACTGGTAAATGACATATATAAAACTTGTTTGTACATGTACTTACTGATTCCATCTTGTCCCACCACTCCTCAGGTGCCTGAAACAAACCGGTGTCACAGTCAAAGCCTATCCCGGACACTCCTTTGCTTGAATCCATCAACTTTGTCCACGCTTGCCACTCTTTTTTCAAACTCATGTACTTATTCTTCAACTGTTTCAGTCCATGTTTTTTCCTGTTTTTTTCTCAAATTTCCTTGCCAACGACTTGTACCCTGCTTGGCTGAGGACTAGGAATGGGCGATTTCCTTTACTAATCTCATTTGCAATCAACTGGAGGAAAACTCGAATTGAGTTACTGTCCCATGAGGCCTTGTGGCTGAACTGATTTTGTGTCTCTTCAAGACTGCTTGACTTGCTAGTCACAACGCCTTTGCTTTTCGATTGGTTACGCGGCGAAGTACGTGTGGAAACCATTACTAATGTACGGTTACAAAAGATTACCATCACAAATTTGATTGTTATATACACACGCATAAGCCATGACACATTAATAACAACAAACAGAGATATAGGATGCTAAAGTTAAATTTGCATATAACCATTACACATTAATATGGTACGTACACAGGTTCCATGGAAGTTAGTAATGGACAAAAATATGATAGTTAGTATTACGGCTCCCATATGCAACAACATACTACGAACATACTACGAACATACTAACTATATACTAACAACATACTGACAACATACTAACGTGTTTGTACATACTGACAACATGGTAACGGTGCTTACATACGGCACAACAAAATGACAACGACAATGCAAAGCACATACACAATGGTCTTAAGGACACGCAAGGATTGTTGAATGTCTATGACATCAGCCCGCAATTGCATGGTAATTTCATCTCCGGGTGACGCATAGTCTTGGTTCTCTCGCCTTCGTTCTTCATACCAACTAATCCAACTGACACAGGGCTGATGAGTGGAAATTATAGAACTATTAGTTTCATGGGTTGTTAATGTTCATACAGTTATGACCGGTAAAGATTGGGTCACTCACCACAGGGCGGGGACAGACGAAGTAGGGACACCCTGGATTTTTGGTGGACCTGGAAATTTTAACAATACAGGGGCCATGTCCACAGGCACACATTCGTCGTGGCCATGTACTGGAAGTTGCAGTAGAGGTGAACGACGCCATGCCACGCTTTAAATTGCAATTAAATTTACATGAATCAACATGAACACATACAAAGACTAACGCAAGTTTATATTTTATTCCATGAACGAACTACATTGTTTGTAAAAGTATTGTGCATCATGAAATTAGGTATATTGGTAATATATTTTGAAATATATTTTTTATTAGATTTGTGCATATATTGTTAATATATTTTGTAATAATTTATTTTTTTAATATATGTTTAATAAAAATTTTACGGACATATAATTTGTTAAATGTAAATTTTGAATATACATTTTAATATATTTTTAACATCTTTTTAATATATTTTTTAATAAACCCAATTTGTCGTTATTTTTAATAACTTTTTAATATATCTACCTTCCTTTCCAAATTTAGGTTATTCGCAAATGAGAATTGAGCATTTTGAAATAGTGTACAGCGATTCGTTGCCTGTGA